TAATTTTAATTTTGCTTTATTTTCACTTTTAGGATGATGACTGACAGCAGGCTAAGAAGGATTAGAGATTTTGAGTCCCTTCCACATGCACCCTACAAGGCTAGACACATCTGGACATTAACAAATGAATATGCTTGTCTTCCACATACTTGCCCATCCTATACAGTGGAGTGGCCCAATTCCCAAATAACTCTAATATAAAATATTAGAGAGATACACGAAGTGCGAGCTCATCTCTGAATGCAGCACTCAAGGATAGCATCAACTAGGAAATCAAATCTATGTGTGATTTCAATGGGCAGAACAGAGGGGAAGAGGAGTGGTCACAGGGGAGAGAAAAAGTAAAGCTAAGAGACAAGGAAAGGCCCAGGAAGGTTATCCAGTATCCTATTTGGAAGCAATTTTGCATCTAAGATTAATAGGAGAGAAGGCTGAAGGTACATAAGGCCATATTAGGGATGACTTTGAAAGTGAGATAGCTAATCTTGCACTCCATATGGTGGACAGCAGAGCTTAAGCAGTTCTCAGTTACTGGACAGCCTGGAAGAGAATAGAGGCAGGAGGACTAATTAGGCTAGGGCAATAACCTAATAAGGGCTATGTGGGGACTGAACGAGGGTGTTAACAGTAGAGTATGCACTGGACATTCCAGAGGAGAATCTCAATAAGATCTCTCAACTGTTCACCCAGGGCACAAAAAAAGTTCAGGAAGGATAGAAAGCAATTCCTGGTTTTTCAAGTCTGGGTGATGAGGAGGACAGGGGCACCATGAGTTAAAATAGGGACATCACCAAGGGAAGATGATATGAAGGTTGACTTTAGACATACCGAGGTCACAGTAGTGGGATATTTATACGGACGTGTGTTACAGAGAATGCAAAGCGGCAGGCTGGAACTTGAGACAGGTCCGGGCCAGGGAAGGAGTTGGGAGGCACATCCATGGAAGGCATCCTCAGATCCAAGACAGGCAGTATGAGCAGAGGTTAGGGGCCCAGATTCTGGGTTTTATTTCCACTTAGTAGCCAAATGACAAAGGCAATTTAGCTCTCTGAGCCTTGTTCTATTTATCCATAAAGCCACAGTAACACCATCACCTACGTCATACAACAGGTGTGGGGATTAAGGGCAATAAAGCATATAAAGCACAGGGCACAGTTGCTGGTACATAGGACAAGCTCAGAGGTAGTGGCAATAGCCAGAGAAAGAAAAGAAGGTATTTCTGAGAATGAGCCCACCTGTGATGAGTGTAAAAAGAATAGGCAATCAGCTGACTCCAAAGGGGAAAGGACCAAACTGCTTCCAAGGTAACCACACATAACTCCAAAAATCCAGAAAAGCATAAAACTCAAAAGAGAGATGGCCCGTTCGCAGACCTGTGTCAAATCAGCATGTTCAATAACATGTCAGCCCCTTCTTCAACATCCTCATGCCAAAACTCGCATTGCCTATCCGTGTGATGTGCCAGGCTTTGCAGCACAGAGCTCCACGGAGACAGGGATGGAGAGTGAGGAGGGAAGAGGGGAGAGCTGGATGCAGATACGTATTTATAATTTATCAGTTAACCTCTCTCTTCACTGCTGCACAGCAAATCCGGCTTGAGCTGTGAGCCAGGTTCTCAGGCTTGGGTCTCTGACAGCTTTGATTGCAATAGAGGAGTGAGCTGTGCTCTCCCCAAAGGTGTGAAGCTGAAAACCCCTTCAGAGCACTGGAGCAAGCCCACCCACTCAGCAACTCTCCTTTTCCTTGCCTACCTGGCAAAAGGTTGACTTCGAAAGTGAAAATCCAGGGTTACCTCTCTCCACGTTCTCCTTCCGATAGAATGCATTGTCATTCCCACATCCTCCCACAGCCCCGGTCCCACCCTTTTTAGCCCATCACCCCCAGTCAGAACATCTCCACTCCCCCAAATGCAGGAAACAAAGATAAAGCAGCAATACATGTGTATCCCCCAAACTTCACATTGCATTTCAAGCAATTCACCAATCTTCTCCCTTTTCTTATCATCCTTCCCTCACAGATGTTGGCCCCAATTCCAGATGTCCTCAAGGAATAGAAACAGTGGTACACCATTTCACATCTCCCCTGTTACTTCAATACACTGACTTGGAGAGAATCTCAGACTGTCCCACATTGAAGTAAAATAGTTCTGCATAACTAAACTTTCAGAGTCCCCCGTTCCTGCTAGAAATAGCATGCCATAATGGACAAGTCCCATCCTGGATTCAGAGGGAGGCAGGCCAACTCGGAATGATCCCCAACCACCGAACATGAAGTGCACTGAAGGGAAATGATAGCTCTGGCTTTTTATTTATTTATTTTTTTAGTCGTTGTTAAAAGCACTCAGTTATAGTCTGGACTGTATTCATCAGAATCGACAATTCCCCTTGGAGACATGAATATTTCAGAAGGCAGATTGATAGTTATAATGAGAAAAATAAAATCATCTCTACCTTTACTTCTACCTACAGAAATGAAGTGGAAGGTCCAATTAAGTAGAGGAAGCATGGTGTCCACCATGGAGGCGGTGAAAGAAAGAGAGAGAGAGAGGGAGAAAGAGCAGGGAGAGGAAAACATCAGCACACTGTAGACACACAAAGAAATGTAACATACACCACAAAAACCCACAACAGTAAAGGCAACAGCACTGTAGTATCTTGAGAGAGCAGCCCAAGACAAATGCACAATGTGAAGCCTAATCACCAGCTGTCCCCACCAGCTTCATGTTTAAGCTTTTCCCATTTGTTTCTTCCCAGGCCCGTCCTTAGAAACATGACCAAGTCTGCATGCAAAAGCACTGCATAGCCACATGTATGTGAAACTGCACACACTTCACCGATGTAAACTTGGTTTGGAAAAGTCTCAAAGAAACCAAGTTCTCTGGTATTTTCCCAATGGCGACCAAGAGTGTCACATACATGTACAAGTGGTGCACACACAACCCAGGTATTTCTAGATGTATTTTTCAGGCATCAGAAACCAATTCTGGAGATTCAGTGGGAACCAGACAGAAATCTTTCTTTCGTGGTGAAGGAAGAGGAGAAGGAAAGCAGTAGAGGTGGGAAGCAGGGTTGGTTTCTTGGGCAATCATCACAGGGCAAGAACAGAGAAGGGAGTGGGACGTGGGGGAACACATGAGAGGTGGGTGATGCAGTCAAAGACCTTCGTAAAAACAGATTAAACTGCAAGTTGCAACTTAAAAACTTAGAGGCACTGACCACCCAGAAGAATTCTGCATCCTTTCTTGAAAACCTAATGAGGAATTCCCAGTATCTGTCATTCTTTCATTGCTTAAGGACTCTGTTTCTAGAAAGTTCTTGACTTAGCCCAGAGCATGCATACATGGGTGTGTGTGAATTCTCTACTCAGGTACACATCAACGCTGAGGGCCAAGAGAAGCTGAGGAGGGGGTGGGAGAGTGGGGGTGGTATACAATACAGATTCTCCACATGTTGTTCGGACCGATGGGAATGAGCCCTTCAAAATACCTGAGCTGTATCTCTGAAGGGTTACCTGCAGAAAACAGTCAAATGCCCAAGGGCTTCATAGTTACCTGCTGTCGGCAGATAATTTCCCCCACCCTCAGACAAGAATAACGAGGCTTCATCCCAGTCTTTTCCAGAGCTCCATCTAACACTGGCAAACTCACCCGACCTCCTGCCTCCAACTCTTTTTTGACGCTTACTCTATACCAGACCATATCTTCAATGAAAGTCTCAAGTCCACATCGTGGATCTTGGCTCATGTCAGGGGGATTCAATTCTACTGGGAAGGTATGCTTCGTCCCTACACTGTCCTACCGAGTCAGGATGTCCTCAACTGCCCACCTCCACAGCTCCCTGGACATCATAAGCAAACTTCTCTCAGCCCTGGGTGGTTTCTTGATCTGAACATACTCCCCTTTATGGCAACACTGTCTGATAGGTCCAGTGTAAGGGAACAGGGAAGGGGAGCGACACTTCAGGATTGCCCCGCCCTCCTCAAAAGATCAAGAAAAACCAGAAAACATAGATGGACCCTGCCTTGCCCTTTTCTTTGGTCCTCCAAAAGAGGTACCAAAGTCCCGTGTGTTTTTTGAAAAGAAACAGACAAGAGAAATTAAAATACAAGCTTTGGGTGTCAGGGCAAGGCAGGTAGACCAATCTTGCAATCATCTCAAGGCTCGGAAGAAACACAATAGTAGCAATTGAACAGTGAAGGAAAAGACAATTTTAAGTAGGCTCAGTTCTCGAATCCTGATTTAGGCTGATGATGTGGAAAATTTTTATTTAGGAGAAAAAGGCTTCATTCACAGCCCACCCTGTGCTTAGCTGAGCTGAATTTCCTGCACAGCTCATTCCCTGCATATTTGAATATTTTAGGTTGCAGATGCTGAATTTACAGATCTTTATATGCAGTTTTCTTCAGGGTGTATAATGAGTTAGAATCCTGCCACGAAGACATTAGCATGTTCTTTCGGTGGTTTTTGCTTTTATATAAAACTAAAAACAGTCAAACCCCCAAGGGCTTCCTTTGACCGTGTGGGGCTGAAAGTCATTACGATGGGCAGTGGGATGGAGGGGAAGACAAAAAAACAAACCTTTACTCAGAGTGACATTCAGGGAGAAGCCCAGCTCCTCTCCCCCAACCACGTGAGGCCCCAGCATGGGGCCCGGGGAGGAGCAGGAGGAAGTTAACTGCTCTGTTGCTCAGAAATTAGCTTCATTCACCCCCATTATCAATGCCGTCATGCCTTGTTTCATGCTTTTCTCTTGGAAGCAGCCCAGCAGGGCCAGCGCCCGGGATGACAAATGGTGGTGCAAAATGGACAAGCCAAGAGGATGATGGGGACAGGAAACCAAGATGCATCAGGAAAGGTACCCCCCCACCCCAGGGTGGCCCTGCTGCAGGAAGGCCAGGCAGCAGATGGGCTGCCAGCGACAGTGAGGCTCTGAGCGACCAGCCAGAGGCACAAAGGCAAGCAATTCAGGGCAGCTGCAGCGCCACAAGCATGAAGCACCTACCTTGTTCGCTCATCATGAGGTGGGAGAGGCCTTGAGGAAGGAAAAGAGGGGGGACAGGGGTGAGGAGGGGAAGGGGAAGGAAAAAAGAAAGAAGACACAGTTAAAATTCCCAACGCAATGCAATTGTCTCTTAGTTGTCAAGTGCAAGGAGGAGGGGCAGGGCCTTTGCACATACTCAGGAGCATGCAAACGAGGCTAAGAAGCCAGGCGGCACAGAGGCGGGCCTCCAGTTGAAGGACAGCCTTCTGTTTGCTGGGCTGCTCTGGGCCTCATCATGAGAGCCTTCCTCTCTCCACACTGTTCCACGCAATGCTTAGGATTTGAAATAAAGTTATTAAAGATGAGGTCCCTCGGGAAGGAGACTCAAGAGGCTGGGCCGAGCATGTTTCCTTCTTTCTTTCAAATGGCTTTTTACAGTAATACATGGTCACTGTAGCAACTTTGGAAAATTCAGGAACGAAAAAAGAAAAATCTGTTGTAATCCACCATCCAGAGGTTCCTGCCCAATTTTATTTTCTAGATACTGTATTCTCTTCTCCAAAAATGGAGTCATGCTGGACATACTAAATGAGTTCCTGCTTGCAAGGGTTCCTCAGACAACCTGAGACTACGTCCCCTCTTACCTTTGGCTTAGCCCAGGGACAACCACCACCCCTGCCCTCCATTGCTTCCCCACCACCATTTTGTTTTAGAAGGTCGCTCACCTTTGATGAGGGAGGCCCAGCCCAGCACTGAATGGGTTAAAGAAGGTACACAAAGTCCCAACAAACAGCACAACCTCTGGCTCTGTTCTTAAGGAAATCAAACAAGGCTATTAAGAGCTCATTAATTCAGAGGAAGCATAAGCTCTGATAAATCTATTAAAAGAAAAGATTTCCAACCAGTAACCCACAGCATCAGTTTGCTCTCCCATTGCTTTTATTATTACTGGAGATATCTGACAAACTCCAGATCACCCCAGAGAACCTTTACCCAGAGTGAAATTCAGGGATATACAGGATTAATAAAGGAGAAAAATCTCTGAAGTATAGAAATCCCCAAATGTTTTTGGAGATTACTAGAGATTTAGAAAAGTAATCAGAGGCGAAATATGGGTCAAGCAACTGACTTTTAAAAAGATCAATGAGATATTAAATACATAGATATATGTGCCATGAATGTTGTGGAATCTAGTTTTTAAACAAATTTCATTAAACTATAATCACATTTTAAATGTACATTTCTGGCATTTGTTTCTTGAGGCCCCAGATTAATACTGACGGAGGAATGGAATCATGCCAAAGTAAGTCGTTCTCTTGATTTTAGTTTAAAAACTAATTTTTGGCCTTTTTGGGGAAAAAAATAATAGGGAGAGAGAACAAAGGGTCCTACCTTTGGCTAGGAGAAACCTCGGCAGAAGTCACTATTCCTAAAATGCCTGGTATTTCTGGACCAAGCCAGAGCCTTCGGCGTCCAGATCCAGAGCACTAAAGGGGAGAGCCTGGGGCGGCAGGTAGGGCACATGGAAGGGTGACTAATACACAGGAGGGTCATAAGAATTAAGAGATGAGAATAAGAAGATCCAAGGAGATACCCTAAGAGTAAAAGAAGGGGTTAGAAACGAAAAGAAACGTACCCCTGAAACAAATAATATATGTTAATATAAATAAATAAGTAGGAAAGAAAATAATACTGTATTCAAGTTGCTAAGAAAGGACAGTTTAAATGTTCTCACCACAAAAAAGAAATGGTGATTATATGACCAGATGGAGGTGGGTAACTAATGTTATGGTGGTAATCATTCTGCAGTATTTAAATGTATGAAACCAACATCTTGTACACCTTAAACTTACACCATGTTATACACCAATTCTATCTACATACAGCTGGGGGGACGGGGAGTTTACATTTTTTTTTTTCAAATTCAAAAATGAAAGGACAAACATTTCACACTTACAATGAAAGATGTTTAACAGCTCAGAGAAGAAGTAGAAGAGAAGTGGTATAGTCTTTTCTTTTTTTGACTCAAGAGATTACAAAAAATGTGCTGAATGAAGAGTAAACAGGACAATTGGCATAAGGGGTACTGGAGCTCTGGAGAAGGCGCTACAGGTGGGCCCCATCTATGTGCTGCATGTGTTTCTTTAAAGCAGCATTTCCCAAAGTGTATTTCACTGACCACCTACATCAACCACCTGGGGATGCCTATTAAGAAGATCCTGGGCCCCAACCAAGGAATCTAATAAATTAGAATCTTGGGGAGGAGTATGGGGAAAGATCTGAATTTTAAGCAAGTTACCCAAGTGATTCCCATGCTCACTAGAACTTGAGTGGCATATAAATCAAATTTTGGTAAATTAAATTGTGTGATGAATGCACTAAGAGGAATTGGATATTTAATGGAACCCGGCAGTGGATCCTTTTGTAAAAGAAGGAATTCTTTTAAAATGCAAATAACCCACCACCTGTGTTTTTTAAATTCAAATATATACCTACCAGGCTTTATTAAGCTACATATGTAGTTGCAGTATTGCAACTCGAATCTTCATATTCTTCAACTTATGAAAGTCTTAAATAGAAATGTCAGGCCAAGAATGCAGATCTGGGATACTGATGTTAAAACTGGTTTGGCAGGCAATAAAGTAAAATGGACAAGAAACCGGATGATGGAAGGGAGAAACTGTGCAACCATGATACGGTTTAAGTTTTGCTTTTGGAGAAGGAAATTCTATTCCACTTTCAAGAGCTTTTACATCAGTATCTTCTCACGTACAAATCTATCCTCAAAGCTTGCAGAATTAAGAGCTGGAACACAAGAATTCCGCAGTGTCTAGGTCTATTCTGAAATTGTTTCTGTCCCCTTCTATCCCCAGACACTCCTATCTGCTGTTAAAAATTTCAGGCCCTTCCTTCCAAATGAATGGCAGAACCAACAATCAACCAACCAACTGATTCAAGCGACCTACTATATGCAAAGACTGGCTAAGGTAGTGGAGATACAGACAAGTATGGTAGATGGTCACTAACCTCTAGGAGTTTGGAGTCTAAGTGGGAAGATGTTATGTGTTTATATTTACATAAACATGCATATGACATATATTACTGATACCTGACAGTGAAGTATAGAGGTTAAGATCAAGGACTTCAGAGCCAGATTTGAATCTTACCTTTGTTACTTTCTAGCTTGTGACCCTCAACATCTCTGTGCCTTGATTTCCCTATCTGCAAAATTTGGATAATAACAATGCCAAATTCATACGTTGTTTTGAGGATTAAATAAGTGAATATACATAAAACTGGGCCTGCACATGATAAGGGCTTTATAAGGATTATTATTATTTTTTATTATGCTATAAAAATACACTGATGTGTGAGGCAACAACTAGCACAACAGCAAGCACCAAATGACACAGAGTTGGTGCTCAATAGCTGTTTGGTGACTGAATGAGGAATGAATGAATGGGTCATTACTACATGTCAAATGATGAAATCAGACAATAAAGACCACAGGCCTGTGAGGAGGGCCCTGGATTTACAGGAAAGGTTTTTGGAGCAAAGTGAGATTTGAAATAGATCTTGGAAGATGGTTCAGGATTTAGAGAGATGGAGGACACTCAGGTAACACCGCCAGCTCCCAGGACCACAGAATAAATTTGTAAGGACTTTCCCGTTCAGCTTTTCAGAAGCACCAAGGACACTGCCAGGCACATGGTAGGCATGTAATACATGCTATTCAAATAATAACAAACGCATGTAAACAGTTCATATAAGGAAAAAATGAAAGGTGATCTTAAGGATGAGAGTAGGAACCATTGCATGAAGGCCTTGAATTTCAAGGCTAAGGAAAATGGACTTGATCTTACAGCTGGTGGGACACAGTGAGGGTTCATGGGCAGGGGGAATGATCCAGGGAAAATGATGTTGAGGAAGATTGCTTTGGCAATGGTGTGGACAGGACAGATGAGAAGAAAAAGAGACAAAGGCGGAAAGATCAGTCAGAGGCAGAGGGCATAGGTTAGAATCGTGGTAGTGGGGAGAAAAAGGAAGAGGGGATCCAAGAGGCTTTGGGGGACCGATGAGACACTTCAGAGGAGGAGTGGATGGGAGGCTGAGTGAACACTGTCAGAAATAGGAAGGTGGGGTGGGGTGGGGTCGGGTGGGAGATGAATCAGGGGTGAGGGCAATGATGAGTTCTGTTTTAGGCATAATGAGTTGAGGAAACAGAAGAATCACTCAAGCAAAAATGTCTAAGATGTGTTCTAAAATGTAGGACTAACGTCTGCGAGAAAGTCAGGACAAATATTAGGGTATATCACCGCCCCTTCGTGGAAGAAGCTAAGTCAATGAATCCTCCAAGAAAAAGGGGCTAGAGTACTGAGTCTTAATCTGGGCGAGATGGGAGGGGTATTAAGGTATCTTGGAGGTTCTTTCTTTTTTCCCCCAACATAGTCAACATTAAAATAAAATTTTACATTCAAAAAAGAAAAAGGAACTATATAGCTTTCAAATATAGATACAGAAAATAATGCTCAAAAAATCTTAACTGAGAAGGGTATAATTAGTAAGGGAAAAAAAGGAATCTATGTTGGGTGTGTGTTATCGGTGCGGTTGTTGAGGAAGGGGGAGAAAGGAAGATTGGCCTTCTCATTGACCTCAGAAACAGAGGGTCAGCTGCAGCCCTCTGGGCTACACAGTTGGCCCTGGGATTGGCAACTGGCTGGGTTTGGAGTTTGGCATTTATTCTGGTGTGATGGTCAAGAGAAGACATGGCCTGGAACAGGGACTCAGGGAGGCAAAAGGGACAACATCTTTCACAACAATCTCACCATGGGCTCTGGATTTGAATAGATCCTCAACTCACACTCAGAAGCCAGCTCTATAAAAGTTCACCTAGTGGAGGGTAGGGAATAGGAAATGGGCTTGGATGAGCCTTTGACAGGAAGGATATTGAGAATTGCCAACACTGAATTCCTATGGAACTACAATGCCTTTAAAAAAAATTACCAAAAATTTGAAAGCAAGTGAAGTGTCTCCTATCTAGATGTCACATC